AGAGGGAGGAAGAGGAATGATAAAAGGGTATATCTGGAGAAGGAATGGAAGGTGGAAGATAGGAAGGAGGAGGGGAGGCAAGCTGGGGGAGGGAAGGAGGGAAATTGAAGCAGAAGGGGAAGACACAGTGTTGAAGAGCTAGAAAATCACTATCTGAATTGTTAACCCCTATTCAGCCTCAGAATGGATTTCTCTAGAAGTTACTGAGTTTGGCCCGTCTCAGATGTCTCAGACATCAAGGGAAGAAACCCAAGGCAGGAGACACCTCCCGACTCCTCCTCCCTGTCACTGGAAGACTGCTGTTCCCTCCCATCCGGCAGGTTCCTCTGATGGCGAGCTTCCTCTGAAGGGCACCTCACCACCCTGCCATATTTATGAAGTAACTGACTCCACAGTCCCAGAAAAAAAATTAGAAATGAAATATTGACAACCTAATCCATTTACATAATCAGCCTCTTTTTTTTTCCTACTCACAATTTAAATAACTTATTTATTTAGAGATCAAGCAACGACTACTAATGAATTTTACACAAAGCACGCTAATAACGGGGCCTGTGGAACAGAAGGGTAATCACAGCAGTAATTAGTTTTCTACTTAAACATCCTTCCTTTGCAACATATCAATCTAATGTGTCCGATATTGCCATTAACAACCAGATACATTGCTCAATTAAATTACAAAATGAGCTGCAAAGCCCTCGTTATGTTTCGTGTTTAATTTGCACTGGATTCTGCCTATCTGGGGAGGTCTGCATTATTACACCCACTCAGCTTTAATATGCTTGTGATGATTTGGGGCGGGTTAATGCAGCTGTCACCTACAAAACTAATGGAGGCAATTTTACAAAATATTAAATACCAGGCAGGCCTTTTAGGTGGGAAATCCAAATGTTACCCGACCCTTCTATTAAACTCATCTCTGTGGTTGATTGGCAAAGCTGGCTAGAGGACCCCGAGGCTTCTGGGATTTCTCTCTGCCCTAGGTTCATGAGCTGAGCCCCAATGAGAGGAGGGAATAGGATCACTTCTCTATTTGGGACATCCCAGCATTGAAAATCGAGAGTGCCAGTGAGGCAGGGTCTACTGGTGTTGAGTCCAGTCATCTGGAGCCCTGGGCTTGCTTGTCTCCAACAAGTGGGCTGAATTCCTGCTCATGCAAAAGTGGACTGAAACAAAGGGGTCCTGTTCTGGTTCCAGAGTCATCTGACTCCTGTCCCTACAAGTTCATCCTGGGTGTTTCCTTACTGGGGGAAATGGTGAGGATGGGAAGGTGGGCTCAGTGCTTCAGTCCTTCCCCTCCCACACACTTCCTCTAGAGACCCAGTCTCTGACAGAGGTCAGGGAGGGATGGATCCCCCGATGCCACATCTCATGTTCTGTGCTTGGGAAGCTCATGGACATGAGCACTGGCTCACGAAGAGATCAGATCTGGCTTGAAGACTTCGGGCTGGGGGCAAGCAAGCCCACGGCAAACAATGGAAGAGCTCTTATCGGGACATCACTAAGGATTTGGGGGCTGACTCCAGTGAGAGTTGGAGAAACCCAGTATGTCAGTCAGCCAGAAGGACTCACTGGTGGATTTAGCTCTGATTCCTGCTTCCTTCCTGGGCAAGGAAGGCAAAGGAATGGTGAACATGTTGCCCTCACCTCACCTTGTCTGGGCAGAGTAACAAAATCCAGGGTCAGAGATGAAACATGGATCCCCAGGACCAGGCAAGGGTGTGAGAGCCTTTTCTCTAGTGCCTTTCTCTCTGCTTGAAGAGATGCATGTGGCTGAGAGTGTGAGGGAGGAGGCTTGGCCTGGGTCCAAGGCAAAAAATCCAGCTCTGAATTCACTCGCCACAGACACACTGGTTGTTGTTTCTCATTCTCCCACAGCACTTAGCCTCCCTCCTACTGTGGCAAATGTGCCCACACAGTAATTCCTCAGTTATGTTTGTGAATTATTCACTTTGCAAGGCTGGTTTGATCCCAGGACATTGGTGTCCTTATTTAGTCTGCTTTCAGGCCAGAGACCTTCAACGTATGCAAACCGATGTCATGATCTGTCTGGCAGAACTCACATTAGGAATAAGAAATCGTTTCTAGAAGAAATTGTGCAAAATGTGTGAACTGACTTGGCACTCTCGGCTTCATTGGATTATGGATGCCCTACAGGCGGGGTGAAAGTAGAGGATGGGTGGTAGGTGCTCACTTGTTTCCCCAAGTGAATCAATGCAAGTTCAGAGTTCGAGACACGGGGCTGGGAGTTGGGGTACACTCAGCAGGCCCAGGGTCAGGAAGGATGTGTCGATGAATATCCCTAGCGGGAGAACTCAGAATTCTTTCAGGGGAAAGAACAGAAAAGCTGGCAGGAGAATGCTGTTGGCTGGTACACCTCAGCCATTCTCAGCAAGGCCGTGAAAATGAGTGATATGAACAGCAAGGACAATAGTTAACATTACCTTACCTGTCCCCCATGTATCCAGCTGTGCAGTGGCACTGTCCAGTCACATGGTCACACTGCCCTCCATGGTGGCAAGGACAATCCTGGCTGCAGTTCTGGCCGAAAGTCCCTGGTGGACAGGGCTGGGCACACACGGCTCCCTGAAACAGAGGAGGGAAGACATGCATCGGTGGTGCTTCTGAGATGCATCTTGGGGCCACTCTCTCCTGGAAGCGGCACAGCTGCTATGGCCTAAGGGGCCACCCTGTTCCCTTACTAGGACTTTCTCCCCAATCACAGAAGCATAGAAAGCTGGATGTCATGGCTCCAAAGCCCCATTTTAGAGATGGGGAGACTGAGGCCAATTTGCTCATCCAATTATTCGCACACACGTATTGAGTACTTGTTGTATACCAGGCACTGTGTCAGACACTAAGAATATAAAAATATGAGTAAGACTCAATTCCTGTCCTCCCAGTCTATTGGAGAGAGAGGCAAAAAAAACAGTAACTGAAGTGCTCACACTGGTACACAACAAAGTGCTGAGGAAAAACAAAGAAGAGACTGTGTTTAACCTTGATGGTCTTGAAACATATGTTATCTCTATTTCTTTCTCAAACCCAGCTGACATGAGAGTAAAGCGGGGAAAGGCATAAACCTACAGGGACAAAAGGAATGGGAAAAGAGACCATAGAGAACAAGAGATGTTACATGTGGGAAGATGGAAGAACAGAGGGAGGAATGTAACAACTGAAGTTTCTGCTTTCTTGGTAATGCCAAATGCCTGCAAAGGGAGTATGGAAAGACACTGCCTGGTAACCTCAGAAAAGCTCAGGAATCAGAGACACCAGGAAGCTCGCAAGGCCAAAGTGCAAGTGTGATAAAACAGAACTGTTTGAAAACTTATAAAAGAGAATTAGACCCCAGATTTTTGCCCCCATTTCAAATATCTAGGTGACTTCTCAAGACTACCAGTTTACTTTTAGACAGGTCAACCTACAAAGGCTTTGATCGAGGGGTTCCAAGCACGGCTGAAGGTGGGGGTGCTGTGGGAAATAGGGATCCTGTTGAACTCAGCCTGCTGAATGATCAGACCCTCTGCTCTCTTCCCCTGCTCAGCATCTGGAATATTGGTTCCCAGACTATACTCCCTCTGGTAGAATTCTGGAAGACTCCTTTCTGGGGACACTGAGAGCTCAAGAGGAAAGACCTGTGGATACTAACAGTTGAGGATCCCATTAAGCAACAAGCCTGGCATCTCCCCCTGCCCCTAGGTTTCCAAATGGATTTTCTGAAGCTTATAGTAAAACAGGAACAGGTGGCCAACGATCACTAGATACTTGAAATGAGGCTCTAACATGAAAGAAAATTTTAATATGAAGAAGACTTGTTAGAAAACTTCTAACAAGAGGGCTCTAATATGAAAGAAGGCCAAAACAGACAAATAAACAATGCAGGGAGCAAAGAAAACAAAAGAAAAAGCTTCTATTATAATGAAAATGAATAGCCTTAGGCAGTTAGATGAAAATATTTGAAAGAATAGAGGGCTAAAAAGGGGATATCCAGAGAATAGCAAAGAGTTGTTAAAAAGTAAAACTAAGATGATAGAAATTTTTTAAATGCAAAGGAAGATAAAGGTGAAGAAATCTCCCACAAAGCAGAACAGAGAGAGAGGGAGGGAGGGAGGGAGAGAGAGAGAGAGAGAGAGAGAAAAAAAATAAAGATAATAAAAAAGATCTGTCCAGGAGTTCTGACATGTAATTTATAGGGGTTCTGGACTGTGGAACAGAAAAATGTAGGTAAGCAAATTACATGGGACATATAATACAAGACTACTTCCCAGAATGGAAGAATGGAACGTACTGATTTCTGAACTGAAAGGGCCTATAGAATATTTAGCACAAAAAGTGAAAAGAGATCAACATTAAGGCCTATCATTGTAAATTTTTACAATTTTATGAATAAATAAATGAACCTCAAAGTTTTTAGAAAGTCACATACAAAAGAATTAGACTTCTTAACTAGAAACTAGAAGACTATGGAGCCCAATGCCTTAAAAATTTGGAGGAAAATAATTTCCAACCTAGAATTCTACACCTACCCAAACTAATATTCAAGTGGGGGATTCAATAAAGACATTGTGAGATTTGAACAGACTCAGAAAATTAACTTTCCATGAATACTTTCTCAGGAAGCTACTGGAAGATTTTTTTTTCCCCATCAAAAAGAATTATCCAAAAAAAAGAAGCATGCAGGGTTCTGTGAGTGTGACCTCAAAATCAAAACAGAAACAAAAATCAAACTGAGAGATTTCTGATGTGTCTGACCCTATTGAGAGGCATTTTAGAATTTTACAGAGAGTTTTAGGGATAAATTGGTAACAACACATATGTGGGCATATGTACATAAATGTTAAAAAGTGATTTCACCAAAAATTGTAATAAAACTCCATTGAGACAGTGGGAGAAGAGTTGCTTGTGTTTGCGTGTACGTAGGATAGAGCTGAATTTTATTCTATAGGAAGTCAATAGATTCAACAAATGTCTACAATGGAAAACTCAGGAAATGGCAGTAAAGCATGTTATGAAGAAATATGAAGAGAAATGCTGGAAGAAACAAAAAGATTTGAATGTGGTTGCCTTTTGAGAGTGAGATTTGTGAGTGGGGAGGAGAAAATTGACTTCCTCCTCCCTCCAGTATTAGCCTTGAGGTGTTAGATAACTTAAAATCATACATATGAATCTTAGGTCTCTATCAAACAGAAATCTGAACCTGCTGTTGTCTCCTGCTGCCCTTCTAGCCTCTCCCACACCAGAGATAGTTATTTCTCTTATAGAGATCAAGGATTCCATCACAGTTAATTAATCAATTAGTTCAACACACATTTATTAAGCACCAATAACTGCCAACCCTGAAGAAGCTAGTTTAGTCAGGAAAATCCTGCTGACTAGAGACATCTTTCAATACCATCTAATTTACTTGTAATGAATAAAGTGGGAAGCCTTTTAGCTCAGATTTCTCTTCCACACATAGGTCAGACAATGAAGGGCTGAGGGTGGCAAGGGAAGGGAGGATCGAGGAGACAGAGGCAGCAGCTGAAGACAGTGAGATGAGTGTGTGTGTAAAGAGAGGGGCGGGGAAAAGCTACTCAGAGAAGGGGTCTCTCTTCCTCCTGGAGGTAGTGGGGGTGCCACTACCTTTCTAACTGCACCACACAAACTCTAGTGATTCTTGAAAGAAGAGAGTAATCTTTCTGGCCACCATCTGAGTCAATCATCTATAGTCCTGACCTGGACAAGGATACTCTGACCCTGAAAAAGCATTTTGAGCCATCTTTGGGGGGCTGTGCTTATACCTCCTACCTCCCCATCATGGAGCACTGTGGAGCCCTCATGTACTTACACACATATACCACATACACACCCATGGACACACAGGTGCACATTCGCAGACACCAACTATCCTAATAGGCTGGAGATTCCTTTTCTCTTCAGAGCTGCCGAGACATGACCAGGGCCCCCTGAGGAGGCCAGTAGGAAAGTTTGGTATATAAAATGCTTCCTTCCAACACTTCCTGGGAAAATCAGGCATCCTTTCTGACATTTTGGACAGGAGGGTGAGCACCTCTTTTAGCCCCTGCTCCGTATTCCCCAACTGCAGGCACTCCAGGTCCTTGAACTTCTAGGTCCGTCCTTGGTTTTGAGCTCTTAAGGCCTTAAAGATTTCGATAACTACAAGGCCTGCTGCTGGTGTGGTAGAAAGAACACCGGACTCAAAGTCAGGACTTGGGCTCACATCCCAGTTCTATCACCTCCCAGATGACTGCAGAGGTTCAAGGATAATTTAGTAATAATACATATGGGGGTATATGTACATAAACACTAAAAATGATTTAATAGGATAAGTCATGTGATCATTCTGAGCCTCAGTTTCCTCATCTATAAAATGGAATGGTAACCCTGGGTCTCCCAGGTGGGTGAAAGATTAGGTGAGATTAGGAAAGTGAAGGAACCTAGTACAGTGCCCTAAGGGCAGGCCCTTAATTAATATTCATTCAGCCCAAGTGGACATTTGATGAGGTGAAATGTGATAGGAGCCCAGGACTACCTAGGACTGAGAAGAGTGGAAGAGAACCACATAACTAGTCAATTACTGCTGGTTGGAAAAACAGTCTTTTGGGGAAAAGCAAGGGATAGAGCAGGCAGGAAAGTGTCAGCTTAAGAGGGGGCTGTGGCCTATGGTCTCTCTCTTGCTATTATGAGTTGAGTTGTGTTCCCCACCCCCCAAATTTATATATCTTAACCTCAGAATGTGACTATATTTGGAGATAGGGCCTTTAGAGAGGTAATAAAGTTAAAGCACCCTCTCCTTGGCCCTCAGCCTTTCCTGGGGAGGGACCACCCACCATTAGGGTGGGTCCTAATCCAATATGACAGATGTCTTCATAAGGAGAGGAGATTAGGACATAGACAAGCACAGAGAGAAGGCCATGTGAATACACAGAGAAGACAGCCATCTATAAGGCAAGGAGAGGCGCTTCAGAAGGAACCAACTCTCCCAACACTTTGATCTTGAAGTTCTGGCTTCCAGAACTGTGAGAAAATAAATTTCTGTTGTTTGGGCTGCCTGGTCTGTGCTACTTTGCTCTGACAGCCCTAACACACCTGTGCTATGGTCATCTGAGTCTGTGTCTCCACTTGTAGAGGGATCTCAGGCTGTGTGGCATCTAGGAGTTTGGAGATGAGGTGAGGCAATAGCCTTGCTCCTCTCAGAACTGGTTAATCCACTTATCTGATTTTGTCAAAATCTGGAGACCAGCCACACTGTAAACAGACCATGGCTAAAGGGAACATAAAAAAAGGAGGAAGCCAAGATAGTGAAAGGACTTAAGGCCATGCCAATATGACAACTTGGCCTCGCCAAGCTTCTGAAGGCATTTCTAATTATCAGGATGCCGTCGATGGACAGTGAACAGCAGTGGTGTGAGTGCTGTGGAAATGACCCAGGCCACAGGCCAGGGCATGAGGCTCTAGGAAACATCCTTTCCAAACCTGAGCTTCTGTGATTCTACAACCTCAGTTCCAAACATCTCTCCTTGGCCCTCCACGATAACCGGTCCTATTTCTCAGCTCTTCAGGCCTGTTGTCTTTTGTGTGAGTGAGTATGTTTGTGCACGCATACCTGTACACTCTATATCCAGCCTCCATCATCGGACTGGGAACTCCTAAGTGGGGGTGATCACATCTCCTCCTACCTCCATGTCTGTCTGTAGTGTCTACTCTCATCAAGTTACTCATGCCTCGTTCCCCTCCTCTGAAAGGTCTCAGAGCCCAGAAGAAGAGAGGTAATAATCCCCCAGGCTCTTATAAAGCCCTACACTGGAAGGAGCTTGCCACAGCTGGGCAACTGGAGTGTTGCCCAGAGTCTAGGGGCCAGGAATCTCTGAGGAAGGGCCTGGAGGGACAGAGTTCCTGGTGGCACCTCTCCACTTCTGCACAATGCCTCGGTTCTTTGGGGAGCTGCACCATGTGAGTTAGCAGCTGTACCCATTAGGTCTCTGAGTGTGGCTGAAGCCACCTGGGGCCTACGGGAAAGTGAGGCAATAGAGGATGACAAAGGGAGGACCCTTCTGCCCAGCACCCTCTCCTTGGCCCTCAGCCTTTCCTGGGGAGGGGCCTCAAGCCTGAACCGCAGCTTCATGACACTATGACTCTGCATGCATGAGAGGTATTAATAATTCAGACGAATGTGCAAGTTAATGCTGAATCAAAAATAGAAATGCAATTGTCTACAATAAAATGAAAAACATAAAGTCCCCAAATCCAAAGCTTCTATTGACAGAGTTCCTGTCTTCTGGAAGAACAAATCTCTCACTGTGTAAGGGAGAAAAACAAATTTCTCCACGTGTTGGCTTCCTCCCTTTCCGCTTTTCAATCACCAGCCTCCATCATTCTCTCTAGAGAGGCCTTTACAAGCACAGGGCCTGCCTGTGGCCCGTTTCTCCCTACCACATCCTAATCTGACCTCACTGCCTATGGCTGGGCCTCTGAGGACCCAGCCCTCAGGTACTGGGATTCTGGAAGCTGGCTGCAGATGAGAAGGCCTTTCCAGAGAGTGGATCAGAGTGGGAGAAGTGGGCAGGTGTGGGACAGGTAGCAGCAGCCCCTTTATCCTCCTCAGAAGAGAGAGACAGACAGACAGACGGACACCAAAGGTTGAGATTCAGGAGTCAGGAGACCTGGATTCTAGCTCTACTTCACTCTTAACATGCACTGTGGCCTTGGGCAGGTCACTTAGCTCCTCTGGGCCTTGGCTTCCTCACCTGAGAAGGAAGGTATTCATAGACTAGTGGTGTTCAAACATCTTAAAGCTGGGAGACCCTGTTTTTATGTGAAATCTTACTTAGAACCTCAATAGAGACAGTATATGGATTAAAATGGAGAAGTGGTGGGGTGTGTGGGAGCCGGAGTCCTAATTATTAGGCTCCCCATCCTAGCCCTCACCCCCAAGAAACCCTAGGGTTCTTGGAGACACTGAAGGAAATCCTACGGTCTTGATCAATTATTTCCAAAATGCAGACCTGCGGACAGGGTTGGCTGCCTCAGAATTATCTGGGGAGCTTATTAAAAATAGAGATCCCCAGGCTCCAGAAGGTCTCTGGTGGAGCCTGGAAATATGTATTTAATCTCAACCCTCTGCAACTCTGGCAATGTAGCTAGGTTTGGGTGATGCTGAACCAGATGACCCCCTAGGTCCTATCCTGCTCTAAAAAGGTCTAGCAAATTTATACCTGCATCAGTGGGTCCTGTAGGCATCCTTCCTGCTCACCCCATGGCCTAGACTTTCAAAGTATCCTGAAATATCCTGCTCCTACTCAGCAGCCCTGCCCTCTCTGCCTTTGCAAAGCTGCAGGCTCCAAGAGGAAGCAGCCAGCTATGCCACCGAGCTTCTTCCTCCAAAACAGGAAACAGCAAAGTCAGCTTTAGTGACTCACTGCATCTGAGGAGTGTAGGTTTGTGGAGGTTGAAGAGGGTCACCCACAGGTAGAGTGTGTTGGCTAAAAGGAGACTTGTGGATTGTCTGTGGCATCCAGGGACAGATAAAACCGGCAACTGTAGAAAACTTGCATTTGCCAGGCACTTCGGACATGCATTGCCTCATCTGAGCCTTCTACCAACCATGGCAGCTAAGGAGGGTAGGCTGACTATTGTTATGTCAGTTTTGCAGATGGGAAAGCAGATACCATAGTAACTTAAGGCTTTTTTCAGGGTCAGCATTGGACTTGAGACCTGAATTATGGCCTATGAGGTTATAAATCCCATCTCCTTTTCCCACAATAGCGGTTCCCAGACAGAAGACCTGGATTGGTTGAGGCTGCATCAGAATGACCTGGAACACCTGAGAAAAATATAGATTCTGGGTCCCACGGAATGAGAGAGAGAGAGAGAGAGAGAGAGAGACGTTTTCTTGAGAGAAGTGTCTGTTCAAGTACACAGCCCATTTTTTAAATTGGAGTGTGTGTGTGTGTGTGTGTGTGTGTGTTTAAGGGGTGAAGGCTGGGAATCTGAACACCCTGCTGTCTCCTCTCCTCTCTCCATCCTTCCATCATGCCCTCTCTGCCACATCTGGCCCAGGGCTCATGGCAGCTCAAGTGAGTATCTATGCCCAAAGACAGAGACAATCTATGAGAAGAATTCAACTGTTTCATTCATGAGGGACCACAGGCTCAGAGAAGTTAAGTAAATTGTCTCAGGTCACACAGCACTTAGATGCAGACCTGAGATTCAAAGCTGTGTCCAAGGCAGTGTCTAATGATGTCCATGACCATTAATAGGAAGGGAGGGTATTCAGGGTGGGAGAGAAATTCTGCCCTCCAGGGTGTGTGTGACTTCCTACAGCGCCCCACCATTATCAGAGGGTCCACCTACCATCCAGCCTGGGGGGCAGGCACACTCGCCAGTGATGTGGTGGCAGATGCCCCCATTCTGGCAGGGACAGCGCAGCTCACAGTGAGCCCCATGGCTCCCAGGCGGGCACAGTTCCTCGCAGCTACATGGAGAAGCAGACGTGTTAGATGCAGCAGCACTCAGATCAGGTGGCAGGGCCCCAGCACTGCCAGTCCCAACACTCCAGGGCTCCCTAGGAATTAGTGAGTTCACAGTCAATGTGAACTGTACTAGGCAGGTCAGCTGAGATGCAGTCCTGCTTCCTGCCAGGAGGGGGAAGCAGGGCTCAGATATAATGAACTGAAATGTGTGAGCTTGGGCCAGTACTTGTGGGATGGACTTAAGAGAGTTTAGTGTAAAGAAGAGTGCTCTCCTGGGCAGGGAGAGCTGAGAAAGCCTTCCCTAAGAGGGAGATATTTTACTTGAGTCTTCAAGTTAGTTTTACTGGGAGAATGGGAGGAAGGGCAGTCCAGGCAGAAGGAACAGCATGAGCAAAGAAGTGGCCATGGATCTGGCCTTCTAGAATCTGCCTAGATTCAGAGAGAGGGAGAATCTGTGACATGCCCGCCTTCCAGGCTCTGGAAGGCTCTCATCTACCATGACAGGCTCGTGTGCAGGGACTGGGCACTGCTGAGGTATGGGGGAGGCTTTGTATAGGGTCTTGACCTTAGGCCTTAGTCCAGTGGCCTTGGCCTCTCACTGGAGCTGGCCAGACGTGGGGGCAGAGAACACCCTCAGTCAAGGATGTGTCTGTGTTCAGAGTCCTCGGATATTTTCGCAAGATGTAAGGCTGTTGGGGAGGCCACTGAGCCTTCGGGTGGGTGGGCGGGTGTGTGTGTGTGGGGTGGGGGGAGCTTCAATCTTGCCTCTGAGGGGGTCTCAACTAAGCAGCCTTGGAAGTCCCTTGTCAATACAGACTCTCCAGAGAACTGGAGTGAGGGGCTGTTTGGGGTCTGAGGGGAGGAGGTAGGGGAGAGGAACAGGTACAATAAATTCACCAAACTATGAATGATATCTGCCCAGGGCCCTCATTCGTTCTGTTCCAAATGGCCTGGAAAGGTCAGGCCCCAGGTAAGCAGAAGCATTTAGGATATGATCAAAAGAGAATTCCAATCTAAGGTCTGGGTCCCCACCAGGAAGAGATGCCTGGAAGGAGTTTAATGAGCTACTCTGGCCATGGTAGTGCCCATTCATGCACAGACTCAGCTTGCACCAGTCTCCCCTGCCCGAGTGGCAGGGATCTCAGACCTGAGTGGAGGACGTCTGGGCATTTAGCAGGAGTTGGGGTCTGAGCGCAGGAGATTTTACAGCCAGGACTATCCTGAAATTCCACCTGTCCCCACCACCCCGCCCACCAGCAAGGAGCAGGTGGGGATCATGCAGCTGTGGAGAGGGCAGCTGAACCCGCGCGTCCCGCCCCACCTCTGCGCGCATCTTGTTCGCTTTACTCACTAGACGCCGGTGTAGCCGGGTGCGCAGAGACACTCGCCAGTGCGGGGGTCGCAGCTGGCACCGTGGCGACACTGGCACGGCAGCTGGCAGCCCTTGCCGTGGGTGCCTGGTGCGCAGAGCTCCTCGCAGCGCCAGCCACGGAAGCCGGCGGCGCACACACAGGCGCCGGTGATGGGGTTACACAGGGCACCGTTCTGGCACTGGCACCGGTTGCTGCAATGGGGACCCCAGTGGTCGCTGTCACAGCCTGAAAGAGAGGAGCCCGTCAGGGCTGAGGGAACTCGTGCACTCTCCTTGGAATGGGGAGCTGATGCCCAAGCAGCCTTCCATCTCTGCATAGCTCTTCCCTGGATAAGAAGTAAGTAGCAAGGGGTATCTGGGTGGAAGCTTTGACGCCTCCTAATCTCCATCAGCTGCTCCACCAAACCACCCAAATAATCACACAAGTTAAGAAGCTTGTTTCTTCGAGGCATCTCCCAGCTGGGGCCATTCCATTCCAACCAGTGTCTCTAGAAGCCCCCTCTCCTGTACTGAAATTCCGGAACCACCAGCTGTTGACCTCCTTCTGCCTTTGCTAAACTCTTCTTGGTTGGCTGTCTCTGTTCCTCTCAGCCGCCCAGCCCTTTTCCTTCGGGTCAGCCACCCCTCTTCTTTGTGGCCCTACTCTCTTTCTTGGTACCTTTCCAGCCCAGCCCAGCCCAGCCCAGCCCAGCTCCCATCTCTCTAACTTTCCTGCCTCTTCCCATCTCTTCCCCAAATTCATTAGTTTTCTCACCTCTTGCACCTTACTTTCCTTGAATATGTCTTCTCACTCCCTGTTCCTCCCCTGGCTCCAACTTTCTGTCACCCTTCCCTGTCCCTCCTGCTTGCTGCTTCTCCCTTTCAGTAGTGCCTACACGCCTAACCCTAGTTGTTTCATCTTCAGTTCAGTTTCATTATTTTCCAAGGAGCCAACTTCAGAAGGAACAGGAAAAAAGAAATGTTTCCCTGAGAGGTGACAGACAGCTTTTGAGATCTTTATATGTAATTCAATGTTTCGAAGAGTGATATATGAGCTACCTATGCAGAAATTCACACTCTACAGCTGTGGAAAGGGGCTGAATGGCAGAGCCCCAGTTAGGTCCCCCAGCCTGCTGCCACCTACCACTCTGACCCTTACCTGGTACATACAGGACACACAACAAGATGTCCTCCAACTCTAGTCTCATTCACCTGAATCCTGGAATAGGAAGGATATGGACAGGCACAACTAATGTTCTGGGAGATGTTCAACGGAGAGAAAGATGGCTCCTAGCTAAGGAGACCAGGCAAGACTTCCTGGAAGAGAAGGTATCTGAAATGGGCTATAAAAGATGGCTCACTTGTCTGCCTATCACAGTGCCCAGTTGTCCTGGTTTCAGCACTGAAAGTCCTGCATTCAGAGAAATCCCTCAGTCCTGAGCAAAGTGGGATGGCTGACCACCCTACTGCCTGAAGACAAGGACATAATTAATTGACCTTCGTGCTCTGATTCCAGGGTTTAGACACTCAGAGAGGAAAGAGGACAGGTGAGTGGGATCAGGGAAGGTGTTATTGGGGCAGGCTCAGTACGTGCAAAAAGAGAGAGTGGCACTCAGGTGTTGGGCATGTACAAGAGCACGAGGTTCCAGTGAGTGGATCTCTGGGGAGTACAGGTTGATGGAGGAATCACTCCGTCAGCCCCACCGACTCCTCTGTATATACCTCCCTCTTGTCGACTAGGGTCAAGTGATCAATGTCATGGAGCCTGTCCATCGTACTTCAGTAGATGGAACTAATCAAGACCCAGAGTCCCAATCTCTTTATTTTGCTTTATCTCTTCTTCATCTGTGTCCCAAATATTCACACATACAAACCAAGCTGCCAAATTAGGAGTGAGCCTAACCCTGTGTTTTCCACTTGGTACTATAGTGAGTGAGGCAAAAATCAAGTCCAATAGCCAAAGCGATTTTGAGAAAAAAAGAACAAAGCTGGAGGCATCATGCTTCCTGATTTCAAGCTATCTAATAAACCTATAGCAATCGAAACAGTATGGTATTGGCGTAAAAACAGACACACAAATCAACAGAATAGAATAGAGAGCCCAGAGATAAACCCATGCATACATGGTCAATTGATTTACAACAAAGGAACCAAGAATATACAATGAGGAAAAGACAGTCTTTTGGTGCTGGGAAAACTGGACAGCTACATGCAAAACTGGGGAACTAGACTACTGTCTTATAACATACACCAAAATTAGCTCAGAATGAATTAAAGATTTGAATGTAAGACTTGAAACCATAAAACTCCTAGAAGAAAACATGGGGTGTAGTCTCCTTAATATCAGTCCTGGTAATAATTTTTTAGATTTGACACTCAAAGCAAAAATAAACAAATTGGACTATATCAAACTAAAGCTTCTGCATAGCAAAGGAAACCATCAACAAAGTAAAAAGGTAACCTACCAAATGGGTGAAAATACTTATAAATCACATATCTGACAAGAGGTTAATATCCAAAATATATAAAGAACTCATACAACTCAATAGCAAAAACAGCAACAACAAAAATAACAACAATAACAACAAAACCCGATTTGATTTAAAAATGGGCAGAGAATCTAAATAGGCATTTTTTACAAAAAAGACACACAGATAGACAACAGGTACATAAAAAGGTGTTCAACATCACTAATCATCAGGGAAATGTAAATCAAAACCACAATGAATTATCACCTCATACCTGTTAGAATAATTATTATCAAAAGGACAAGAAATAACAATTGTTGGCGAAGATGTAGAGAAAAGGGAACCCTTGTGTATTGTTGGTGGTAATGTAAATTGGTGCAGCCCCTATGGAAAACAACATAAAAGTTCTTTAAAAAATTAAAAATGTAACTACCATATGATCCAGCAATTCCACTTTGGGTTATTTATTTGAAAGAAAAACACTGACTCGAGAAGACATCTGTACTCCCACGTTCATTGCAGCATTATTTACAATAGCTAAGACACAAAGTAACTTGAGTATCCATCGATAGATGACTGGATAAAGAAAAAGTACACAATGCAAAATATATATATATGTGTGTGTGTGTGTATATATATATATATATGTGTGTGTATGTATATATATATGTATGTATGTATATATATGTCTTACTGTTAAATTATATACTTGAAATGTACTGGATTTTGTTAACCAATGTCATCATAATAAAAATTAATTTAAAAAAATGTGGCACATAAATACAATGGAATATTACTCAGCCACAAAGAAGAAGGAAATTTTACCATTTGTGACAACATGGATGGACCCTGAGGGCATTATGCTAAGTGAAATAAGTCAGAGAAAGACAAATGCCATACGATCTCACTTATTTGTAGACTCTAACAAACAAAAACCAAATTCATAGAGAACAGATTGGTAGTTGCCAGAGGTAGGGGTAGGGGGTTGGCAAAATGGGCAAAAGCGGTCAAGAGGTACAAACTTCCAATTATAACATAAATAAGTCATGGGGATGTCACATATAAAATGACTATAGTTAATAATACCATGTAAAAGTTGCTAACAGAGTAGATCTTAAAAGTTCTCATTACAAGAAAAAGAATTTGTAACTATGTATGATAATGGATGTTACCTAGTCTTACCGCGATCATTTCAAAATATATACAGATGTTTCACCATTATGTTGTTCACCTGAGACTAATAGTTTTATGTCAGTTATATCTCAATAAAAAAATCGAGTCCAGTTATAGTTACAACCTCCACTCACATTCGTAGAGGCTCACAGGACAGAGAGTGGTTGAAAACCTAGCAGTCTGGTGCCTCCCATCTCACCCTGTCTCTGGAACATATACCCAGTGAGTGGAAAGACTAGCAGAATTACCTACTGACCATTTCTCTATTTCTTTTTGTTGCCAAGCACATGTAGCTGAATTTGCATAGGTTTAATGTACAGATGATGTGACTCCATTGTAATAATATTGACAACCACATTTTAAATGCTTGCTTGTACATTTACAACCCTGTAAATTAGGTTTTATTATTTTTCATTTTACAGATGGGGAAAAAGGGGAAGAGAAGTGTTAAGTGATTGCCCAAGGTTATATATAGTCAAGGGCAGGAGCAGGTCTTCTGGCTCTACCTCTCTCCACTGTAGGTAAATGTGACACTTTCTGAATGAGAGTTCTGAGGAGAATAACTTATAGGTGCCTTTGGTGACAAAGTGGCAGCTGCAAAGCACAAGGGCAGGGATGCTACAGGGACTAGCCACGTCTTCTCTGATTGTCACTGTGAACAACCCCAGGGTCCAGAACGAAGGGTCCCCTCACTGTCAGTGCCCTTGGACCTTGGCTCTGTACTAAACCATTGGAGTCCAAAGCCAGCTTGTCCTAGGTGCATACCAGGGCATGTAGTTATGAACTGCTTATCAGAGGTGACCTCTATTCTCTCTGGCACAGCCAAAACCCAGTAGGAAACAAAACTATGCCTCTAATAAGGGAGCTGGAACAGGCATGAAGTCCATGCATTAACACTTGGGTGCTTTCATTCTTCTACTTGTCCTATCATCAAACATTTACCAAGCACCTGCTAGTGCCAGAAACTGTCCTTCTCTCTTGGGGTGTACATTCTAGTGGGGACAGATCTGCTGGAACAGCATTTAGGGTGTACAGCAAAAAGGCTCTAATAGGGGTCATTCAGGTCATTAGAGAAAGAAACAAGTGGCTCTAAACCCAGACTAGGGGGTTCAGGAAGATGTCCTCAAAGGAATGACTTGAAGGAGGGGTGTAGTTGGGGAATGGATCCAGACAGAGGAAATAACAGATGTAAAAGGTTGGGGGTGGGAAAAAGTATGACATGTGAGGGAAAATGAGAAAGAGGTATATGTGTCTGGAGTATAGACTTTGAGAGCTAGGCATAAGGTGAGGCAGATTCCTGAGCAGGGTACCAGGTCCCAGGGCTCTGTGAGCCATGTTCAGGGGCGTGGACTTCATACAAGGGCAGGGAAGCTCTGAATGTGTTCTAAGCAGAAGACTGACATGATCAGGTATGGCTGTAGAAAGCTCTAGTGAGAATAGATTTGTGGGCAGGAGAGTCAGAGTGGGAATAGAGTAGGGGGATGAGCTGTTATAATAGGAAAGAGACAATGGTGGCCTTGACTAAAGTGGTAGCATTTGGAATAGACAGAAGGGGACAGATTCCAGCTGGGTTTATCTGGTAGAATCAGCAAGGATTTAGTATTGA